TAGAGTTATAGGGTATTATAATAAAAGGTACACAACTATACTCTGCATAAATTTGCACAAAAGCTAACTTACAAAAGACCACGACGTTGAGTCGTAATACTAATGGCAGATAAACATAGACTAACTTTTGCAGCCGTCACGAAATATTAAAACCTATCGTCCTCAAGCCTCCCAAGAAAACACGAGACAGGAATGATGGGGCGACATGAACTGATTGTCGGACACCTTCTTCCGGTTTTCCCCTCTGGTTCCTAATTTTGACTAGCATCTGACCCCCTTTGATCCCTTAACACACTCCTCTCCACCTAATTGCTCCTGATTGGTTGTTGTTATTTTTATCCACAACTTATATTATGACATTTGCTTAAAGATGCATAAATCAAAAACGTTCAGTCGTCTAACTTGGCTTCTGGAATGCTTAACTGGGTATAATCGCTGGAGTTTGCAGTAACGTTAGAGGGCAATAAAGCTTCGAATAAAGGCGTCTCGGGCACGTAGGCTGATTTCCTCCTAGTTGATTGGGAAAATATCATATTATATTTCTTTTGCAATCTTCCACATACTTAAGGCATTTCAGCGGTAAATGAAAAAAAGCAAAATAAAGGCTACTGAATTCGTTATTGACTCTGGCCAAGTGCTCAGTGCCCGCCATGACCTTTTCGTATTCCACCCTACTGTAACTACGAATGCAGCCCTACTTAGAGTCCTATGTCCATTAGATTTGCATTATAAACACACCATGGCGATAAGCACAGCTTTAACCAGTTTGCCTTCAATTTTGCCAAATCTTGTATTTCGTTGAACTAGATTTGATCTTCTTGTATGGCCTTTGGGAAACGTTTGATGGTGTTTCTAGTATGAAGACAGGGTATTTAATTTTCTCCATGTGTGGAATATGTTTCCAGGGTCGAGAGACAAGTGAGGAAATCTGTCGTCATTCGATGCGAGCTAGATTTTGTTGACCAATCCTCAGCATGTGTTATTTTTTCGGGGCGGGTGACACAGACAGCTTGGCCTTTCCAGGAAATGACCAAGAAAGACCTTACTCCCTCCACCTTTCCATCATCCGGTTTTGCCACAAAATGTGACATTTGGAATACATATGAACGTTTGATATACAAGTAAGTGACATAGGACTATTTAAATAAATGCACTCAAACAGAAAGTGCTCTATTTCGTCCTCTCCCCCTGACGCCAGTAGAAGAGTCCTCAGATATGAGGACCAGCACGGAGAGGGTACAACACCGCGTACGTTAAGTTTTAATGAGCTTGACTTGCTTTGCCTATACCACGCTCTTCTATACCTAAAGCAACTTTTTCCAATGAGGAAAGCTAAAATACCTTGTTTAAGGTTTCCAAGGAGCAGAATGCAATTTCCATAAACATGGTGAAGTGTTTCAATATAGAGAAATGATGCTTTGAAATAAGATTGTAATCGGATTGTGTAATTAACCCATAAAAAATCTGGTCAAGCTATAAATTTGAGTAAATATCAGATTTATATGGTGCCTTAACCAGAATTCTATACCTAAGTTTAGCTTGGGCAACATCCGGAGGTGATAAGAGCATAACATCCCCTGCTCCCTCCTGCAAGACTCTGCCGGCCGTTAATAAATGAACAACATTTTCCTTCCTACACAATCATTCAAGAAACGGGATTTATGGTCCTTTGTCGGTGAATTCACTACTTGTGATACGGCGAATAAACTAGCACCTTTAGTTTATCATAACTGAACACGTATAACTAGCATACATGTACTTAGTATGCAAATGGGTTTAAACGTCTGGTGTGGAAAAAAGGTAAATGTTTATACCGAAAGCCTTTAAAATGTTTTTTTTCTGATCCTGAGGTAATATTGCTGACAAAAGGAAATTTCCGAACTATCTACAATTAAAATTTATTTCTAGACCGCTCATTTTTAAAACAGCTTCAAAAATATAACATTAACTTTTATACCTTCCCTTTGAGTAGGAGGGATGCTTCGGTAGAACGGCTCTAAACACCCAGCTTTCATGCGTCTGCTAGCATAGGTGTTTTACTTTAATCACGGCAAATGAATTCTGGTAGCCAGTCGACCTGAATGTGCGGTCTTTTAGACGAGAAACTGTTTTCCGTGAACTGGCAATTTTGCATCCCAGTGACAAAAGGGCAGCTTTTCCTGCTCGTATATTTGGTGACACCCCATGGTTTTCTAGAAATTTCCGTAAAAGCTCCTATAAACCGTAGACATATAGGGGGCGGAAAAGGAGTGACTAATTCCGAAAATCTGTCGATCAAGATAAAAATACCGGACCGCATATCTCTTGATCAGCCTCTCTCTACACCTGACCTTACCCTAATTTTATGCCCGAAAAGCTTATTATCATTTATCAAACAGTGATCCTTGAGCAGTTGCAACGATTGATTAATTATCTTAACATGCATTATGAATATCGTGGTATGATACATATCATTCGACAATATATGGTTATGATGCATCATACAGTATGTAAGATTGCACGTAAAAACATATTATACATCTGTTTGCTGCAAGTTTTATCATTACCCCCCAAAGAATATGAAAAAGGTAGTTTTTTCTGTTTGAAAAATACCCAGATGGAAGCTATCAATTTTGCGAGCTAAATGGAAATTAAGAAATGGCTACAGAAAGTGCACATATTGCATGATAGGCGGATATTGGCGCATAAGTCACAGTTAGCTATATGCTGACGACCTACCGATTGAAAACAATTTTGCTTTAAGCCAGTCCACATCGTAAAACATTCTTGCAGCGTACAAAGGAGGATAAGAGAATACAATGAGTCATTTTGTAAGAAATCTACGGCCGAAAAGTTTCCATTGAAAGCAGATTCAATTATTCCCAACCTTTCAGACATAAAACGAACGAAACTACAATCAGAGGCTTTATCAGTGGGATTAGACTTTTGTGACCCAAGCAGAAATATAAACACAAAGGAGATTGATACACAATTTGAATACTTGAACCCTAGCTTGATGAACTAATACCTAGGTTCCCTGACGACGTAGACTGGCTTAGAGAAAAATATGCGGACATTGCTAAACAATATGGTAATGTGCCCGTAACGCAACTGAGGCCTCTGACAAAAGAGCCCATGGCTGCCCTGACTGAATTGAAACATCACAAATAAATAAAAATTTATGAGATTGAAAGACACAAAATTGCATTTTTTTTCTAGAAAAGTATATTAAGATCTGTTCTCTTCTATCGCAGGTCATGATATGTAATTTAGCTTGGAATTATACTGACTGCCAGTACGCTTGGTTTTTTATATAATTTCTTTTTTTTAGACTGCGTCCGTATTGATATTCAATCTTCTTAAGTCTGGATAGGAGTTCCCTAAACTGGACGGTACACGCCTCGATTTGATTTTACGAGCCAGATTCACTCGTTACTTGCCGCAGAAATATTGGTGTGAACGTAAACACTAGTGTACTTGCTACAAATGTAATGCACGCAAATAAAAAGTCGGAATGTAACATTTTTCAAACCTGAGTACACTTTTAAGAAACTCTAATGGACAAGATTAAAAAGTATGATAACGTTAAAAATGAAGATATACCTTCATAATGTTGAGACATAATATTGGCCATTTGCCCAGGCTCTGTGGAGCTTGACGCTGGCGAGTTCTGAACGGGAACGCCGTTTTTGAGCCACAGAAAAGCGACTGGCGGGTCACCTTCTGCCTCGCACTCCAGTCTCACGCGCTTGCCAACGTCAGCTGACAGCGGTTTCGGAGGGAGGGTGAATTTGGGAAATCCTGCGGGGACATCTGTTTTTTGTTTCCAAAAGCAAAAGGTGAAAAAGTGACAACACGTGTCAATCAAAGTGTATTCGGGTGCGCTTTTTTAAAAAGTCTTCTCATGTGTCATATTTTGTTAAGCAGCGGACTAATCGCAGACTGGGCTGTGCGCACACAATTTGTCTGCGGAAGCCTAAGATTATGAAAGTGGTAAAGAGTTAAAATTGAGTAAGGCCCCCAATTCTAAAACAACCTTGGTAGTGCTAATACACAGAATCTCAACCGGAACATAGGCCTGTAGGCAAGCATGATATATAAGTACAGGGAACCCATATTATTTGTTGAGCAATTTTTTAAATAGATCATCGTTCAAACTACCGCCATCAAAATAATCAAATGGCAACTGAATAGCGACGAAGAACGTCACTGTCTGGATTTTTTAAACGGGCCGAACGTCCAACTGATTATTTTGTAATTCAGAAATGGCGAACTTACAATACTGACGCGCGAAACCAAGCTGCCATTACCCCATTAAAGGAAAGATTAAAAAAGTGAGAAAAATATAATCCGCATGCGTAGATTTGGTGACATTTTCTCAAAAAACGTGTCTACCGCATTCAAAATCGTAAGGATATTCGTATTGTTCTGCCTTTTAGGAACTCCGTATGTGAAACGGGAGGTGCAGTCCCCTCTGAAAAATTTATAGAATTTTACCTGAAAACTGGCCCTAAAGTTCGGATTCAAATTAGTCACAGTGTGAAGAATCGCCGCGTTGTATTCATGTTCTGCCGATACGCTGTCCGTACTATGTAAAACGTTGACGGTTTCGCCTCAATTCCAAGATCTATATGGAGCATCATTGACACCATCCTAAACACTCAAATCTTTACGCATTTATGTTTTCCACGACTACTGGCCTTACCAAGTGTTCGTTTTATAAATTTAACGCTGGTTAATATAGGCTTCGTCACCTTTATGAGGTTTTTAAAAAAAATTATAGTTGCCCTTAAATTGAGGTTGATCTTACGCTAGCTGTATACAACCTAACATTCATGTTCAGTTAGTTGGTTTTTTGAACGATCCAAACAACGGGCTGAGCGGGCCAAATGTCGAATTTCTGGGGCTAGCGTTTTTTCTCCTTCAGCTTTCAAAAAAAATGGAGTTTATTATACACTGATGGAGAATGAATTTTGCGATAACGTGAAACAGACAGCTAACTAGCGTGTCCATTCTATTTTTTATCTCAGCTCAACGCAATCCTTCAGTCCAGTTACGAAAAAGACTGAATGAAAAAGGATGTTTCATGTAATTATCAGCTTTGTTTTACTGTGGCATTTCGGCTCTCAGTTGGGATGGTAATCCTACTTATGCAAAATATCAGAGGTAAACTAATTTGCATTAAAAGGCTTCTGCACTACTCAGGAGTTCCTAGTCCCCATACACTTTTTCCTATTTATTCACCTAATAAATGCACAAAGATTTCTTTTAGTTTACTTAATATACCTTCATTATACCCATACAGCTTTGAAGTTAATCCTGAACATACCACTTCGATTATGTTATACAAAAGAAAGCATTTACTTTACTACCTTTTTCAAAACATATCCACAGCTTTGGGAGATGCAACCTCATTGATTAACATTCGCATGACTGCTATCGGAACTCATCTGTCCCGCATTGATTGACTGACGACGGCTAATAAGATCGAAGTTGCCATCGCAGTCTCCCTTGTCCTTTCTGGCAATAAAATCTGCCTAATAATAGCTGCTACGGCTTTCACGACTTCTGTCGAAACCCATAGCAGAGTGGGACAAATGAGTTCCGTAAGCGGTCAGGTGCACGTTTATCAAAGAACGTCAATATCCCCTGATCTTAATTGAATAGAGAGCAACCTTGTGGCTCAATGATTATGGCGTTTAACTCTGATAGCGAGTTCCAGGCTCGGCTTGGACGCAATTTACGTCAAGGTGGCTAACCACGTGGCTGACAGTGGTTAATAAGCCAGAAATTGCCGTTTCAGTCTCCCTTATCTTTGCTGGCAATACGAGCAGCTAGGCATCTCCCTAATTAAAAATGGATCCTATAGAAAATAAACTACTTGGTCGACAAACTGTTCTTGGGCAGACTCACCATCGGTGTACTTGTAGACTTTAAGATTCGCGGATGATCGGTCATTGCCAACGTGATTACTGGCAAGACATTCAATTTTCAGGCCATTCTGCTTGGAGGAGACCTTGAAAAGGCGCAAGAGGCTTCCACCCGCGACGGGCACAATCTTTCCAATGTCGTTGGAGAGGCGACCAGGTTGGCCGTCAAGGAAAAAGTTGACGTTGGGCGTCGGACTGCCATCGACACCGCAGAAGAAGAGAGCATCGTCGCCATCCAGAACGGCAACATCTTTGGGTGGCTGTGTAATTCGAGCATGACCTTAAGGGAGAAAGCAGAATAAAACCCACTTTGTCAGTCAGTTGTATTCAGACAGGGAATAGTTTGACATCGTAATGGCATGACGTGATACAGAAAAGTGACGGCACGTCATGAGTTCTGATATACATATTTGTTTACGGCCAAAATTCTTGGTGCGGTAAAACAAAAGACAGTCAAACGATGTTATCACTGCTTTTTGCGAGAAAAAAATCCGAGATTTGCAAAAAATAATTTAGAAGGCTAAACCCTTTTGTCATTTGCGTAAAACAATGTCATTCGTCTCATTTGCACTCACCAGATTTTAATTGACACAAAAGCAGATTTTTACTTTCCAGAAGAGTCCGATTTATAGGTGTCTGCCTATATTGGTGCTCCGTTATAGCACAGCGCACAAAAGTGAAAGCGTTTACCCTGGGATAGTAAACGGCGCGGAATATTTCTTTTATGTCCGGAAACCTACGATTTTCCCAAAAGTCTGCTGTTTTAATTAACCGTAAACACTGAACGTAATATTTTCTAAGCAAAAGGTGCCCTCAGCATAGGTAAGAGATCAAAAAAAAATGACAGTCGCGAATATTAAGCTAGGTGCTGTTCGGAAACGGCTCTCTATATTAAAACTCAGTAAATGCTACGTTGTTGCCTATACTCTACGTCTTAACGGGGAACTTAACTGGTCAGTTTTGTAAAGTTTCCGTGTTTCCTGTTTGAGGTCTGTCTAAACCCGAACTCTTAATCAAGCCGGCTTTCCTAAGGTTCTAATTAAAAAGAGAATATGGAAAATTGCCTAAGGCTCAGGCTTTTTAAAGCTAAATTATATATGGTAAGGGGGGGGGTTGGGAGCTTTGCCTATTTCAGTTGACCCAATTGTGAAAAGATATCGCGGCCTCGGTGGCAATATAATCGAAACGGCAGGAAAGGCTTTTGCGCAGCCAGCGTTCTACAATTGAACTGCGAGGCTCACCGTCAGCCGTAAACGTAACCAAACTCGGTTTGATTTTACCCGCCCAACTGACTTCCCATGTGGAATCCAGCATTACGGAAGAGCAGGCCGTCTGGCAAAGTCGAACTACCTAAGCGCGTTTTTAATAGGAAAATATGACTCGAATAAGGCTGTCTTATTAGTTATCATGCCGCATGGTCCCCATAAATTTCAGTCACATCAGGATGAAAAAGGTTTCTTTGTGGTCGCCGAAACAGACAAAACTCATCAAAAATCAACCGAAGCAAGCGTAGACAGCACAGTTTTGGGGAATACAATAATTTTTGTGACGGCTTTTCAACCGCCTTCCGTCTTTGCACGAGCCAGATAAAGCATAGGAGCACACAGCAAATTGAAGTTCACAGAATTTGAATATGCAACTGCAAGGAACATACATCAGTGTAAATAATGATCAACTCAATGACGCTACATTATGTCAGAATATAGGAACAAAAAGGAAGGAGGTAATTTGCGGAATCCAAATTGTGATTAAAACAAGTGCCTTTCGGTTGACCATTAATTACAGTGGACTGTGGCCCTTGCAGTTATACAATCTGTGAAATTCAGTATGCTGTATGCTTTTATCCGTTATCTGAATTATGCAACGACTGGACACACTTGAAAAGCCCTCGCGAGAGTAAGTGAATGAAATAAAGGCGCTCTGTAGGATTGTTTTAGCGTCGTATCGGGGAAAAAGTGCTTCAATAATGATTCAATTAAAATTTATTTTCTGATTTGTGTCGGAAGATGGGTTCTGTATTATTTCCCATATGTAAGCTTCGCGCCTATAGAGCCTTATGTTGCCTTCATTAAAATCTTATAAAGGCTAATATACGGCAGTCAAGATTACGACACTTTCGTTATTAAGCGGCACATGTTGATGTTTACGCGACTAAAAATATGTGTCTCTGCCTGCCATACGTTTTGACCCGCCAGTAAAGTAGATTTGTTTGATGTCGGACCTTTTTTTCATTTTAAGACATATTTTTGCCGCACAAACCATGCAACGGGGATGACTTGTATGTTGCCGCATTTGGCTCTGATTGTGTGCTCTCTTAGGTCTAAAAGTTGGACAACCGAGTGTTTTCGTCGTCCGAGTAGCGGTTTCTTCCGCAAATAAGACAAATTATGTGCCTAATATGTGGAATGAAAGACGATTTGGTGAAATTGCGCTTCATTAGTAAGGGTTATTTTTCTCTTGATGTCTAAGAGCGGTTGAGAATTAAGTGCCGAATTGTTGTTTCGAAATGTGCGTTGTTGATAGTATGAACGAACGACTATCCTCTCCTTTTAGTGGTTGGCACATGTTTGCTTATAGAATCATCGGACCGGAAACAATTCATAATTTATATGAAGGACAAACATGTCTTAAACAAAACCGAAGTAAAAACAGCTAGCTAGCAGCAAAAACAACACCACCGTTATTAAGTGATACACAAAACTGCATATGCAATATGGGTATAGAACAAGGATGTCTTTTCAAGAGTCGTACGCAATATGTATGAGACATATATCCTAACACCATACGCACACTGAAAAGTGTTATGCCATTTTTTCCGTGAGAGCTGAAACTGACTGTGTGAGGGGTTTGTGGAGGAGATTTTGGAACAGTTTACCTAGTTAAAAAAGCCTGTCTTTTGGTATTGTAATGCAACTCCAGAACCCTACCTAATTCCAGACACCCATTTTAGATTATGTGCTATCTGATCTAACAGGTGACCTGTAACATGACGCAGTTGTGCACGACAGTTTGCTACGGGTCATTTGCGGTTGCATTTACGATGCTTTTAACAGTTGCCAAATCAATCCATTATGCAGAACTCTAAGGATATAAACATATCAGAGAGAGAAGGAACTTTAAGACTACAATCAAACGAACCCTTTTGCGAGCTGCTTTGTTTAAAATCAGCACAACACAACTCTGCCTATCAGTTTTGGTTAGAAACGAAAGCATGTTCACATGCAAATGGCCCAGATCGTCCAACTCTGGCGTCTACCCAAAGAGCCCATAAGTCCTTAGTTGAGCGGAAATTCACGCCGTTTCTCATAGTGGCTCCAGAGTCTTATGCAAGTGAAAATATATGCTTTATTAAATTGCCATTCAAAGGTGAATCGAAACAGACCTGTACTCCTAATATCTACCAGGTATCCAGACCCTGCAGTCTCACCGATCCCGTCTCTCTTTCCCTTCAACACCACCAGCCGTAACCGTCCCAACACTCCTCGTTGATCTAATCACGAATCGGTCGGCAAACTTTCCCAATTAGTGCTCTATTTGGGTAATTCCTATGTCTGCGACGCTCAAAGGGGCTAATTAAACCCGAGTTCACAATTCAAACTAATTCATGTTTTAATAGTTACCTCGTTGAGAGCTCTCGATCCTTGTTTAAGTATGCAAAAGTAAGCAATAGAAAAAAGGAAGCTGTGGCTTAAGGATTAGGGCGTCGAACCCCTTAACAAAGCGGTCGCGGTACCGAGCCTGTGGTCAGATAAGGTTGGGGATGGTGGTTAATAAATTAAAAATGGTCGCTCAAGCCTTTTTGGATGGTAAAGCTGCATGGCCTATATATACGAGAAGGTAAAGCGATCATGGGAACCAAAGGTTTATCGTCCTGAAGTTTTGGAATCGTACAAGGTTCCATTGTCAAAGGTAATAGTCACACTAATTGTCACAGTATTTAAGTGTAAAATCAGCTAGGCAGGCCAATGACTGTTGTTTTCATGCGGCCGTGGGCTCGTCTCGGCCGGGGGTGGTGGCGGCGTCGGGTTGATACCAGCCATTGATCGGGTTTTTACGGTCCGTTGGTTGGGTTAACCCGTCCTCCTGTTGTGTTAACTACTGCCCGCAGACGAGCGAACGGTGGTTGCCATGTCCGTGTTCATGTGTCGGTTGTCGCCGGGCAATTCGTGTGACTATTACCTTTGACAATGGAAGCTTGTATGATCTCGAAACGTCAGGACGATAAA